AGGTCTTTTGTGTCCCTGGTAAGATTTATTCCCAAGTGTTTTATTTTTTTGGTAGCTATTGAGAATGGTATTGATTTCCTTATTTCTTTTTCAGCAATCTCTTTGCTGGTGTAGATGAATCTAACTGATTTTTGGATGTTGATCTTATATCCTGCCATGATGCTAAATCTCTCAATTCATTCCAGTAGGTTTTTGCCTGAGTCTCTTGTGTTTTCTAGGTATAGGATCATATCATCAGCAAATAGGGATAGTTTGACTTCTTCCTTACCAATTTGGTTTGCTTTAATTTCCCTTTCTTGCCTTATGGCCCTGGCTAGGACTTCCAGTACAATGTTGAATAGAAGTGGTGATAGCAGTCATCCTTGTCTAGTTACCGTTGCTTCTTGATCATATACTATCTCCCGGAATAGTTGGACATTGATAACATTTTTTTTGACTCAATGACTCCATGTATTCTTGCTATCTTCTTTTGATGGTTCTGCATCATTCAATATTTTGCCCATAGAATTCTTTAATATCAAAACCCAAGGCTTGAATATTTTCTTCAGTTCTTTCAGCTTGAGAAATGCCAAGCATGTGCTTTCCTTTAGGTTTTCTAATGCCAGAGCTTTGTATATTTTATTATAATACTTTACTTAGTCTTCTTGAACCACCTTTTGAAATTTTCTGTTCAACCCTTTTATCTTGTCATTTCTTCCTTTTGCTTTCATGATTATCCATTCAAGAGCAACTTTCAGAGTCTCTTCTGATATCAATTTTCATCTTTTTTTCCTTTCCTGTTTTTTCAATGATCGTTTGCTTTCTTCATGTATGATGTTCTTGATGTCATCCCACAACTCGCCTGGTTTTCAGTTATTGGTGTTCAATGAATCAAATTCATTCTTTAGCTGGTCTCTAAATTCAGGAAGGATATAATCTAGGTCATATTTTGGCTCTCATGGACTTGTTTTAATTGTCTTCAGCTTCAACTTGAACTTGCATATGAGCAATTGATTGTCTGTTCTGCAGTCAGCTCCTGACCTTGTTTTGACTGATGATACTGAGCTTCTCCATCACCTCTTTCCACAGATGTAGTCAATCTGATTCCTATGCATTCCATTTGGTGATGTACAGGTGCCCTTTATGTTGTTGAAAAAAGGTATTTGCAATGAATAAGCCATTGGTCTTACAAAATTTTGTCATGCAATCTCCAGCATCATTTCTATCACCAAGGTCATATTTTTCAGCTACTGATGACTCTTCTTTGTTTCCTTTGTATTCCAATCACCAGTGTACATAAGTCCATCTTGATTGCCTTATATAGAAAGGCATTTTATGAATCACTTGGAATTGCCATTTCAGACTGGAGAAGTTGGTAAAAATCTTCAATGTTTTAGTGGTTGCTGCATAAATTTAGGGAGCTCTGGTAGCATAGTGCCTAAGGCATTTGACTGCTAACCAGAAGGCTGTTGGTTCAAACCTGTCAGCCACTCCTCAGAAGGAAGATTGGGCAATCTACTTCTGTAGTGATACTGCATTGGAAACCCAAGGAGGGGTTGTTATGAGTCAGATCCAACTGCACAGCAGTGAGTTAGGAGTGAATTTTGTAGGTGTATGGATATTATCCTATCACTGACAGCATTGTATTTCAGGATAGATCTTGAAACATTCTTTGTGATGATGAGTTCAATTTGTCATTCCCAGCATACTAGATTCAAAATGGCCAAAACCAGTCCATTTCAGCTCACTAATGCCTAGGATATCAATCTTTATGCATTTCATTTCATTGTTGACAACTTGTAATTTTCTTGGATTCATACATTGCACATTGCACAGTCGGATTATTGACGGATACTTGCAGCTGTTTCTTCCCATTTTGAGTCTTGCCACATCAGCAAATGGAGGTCCCAAAAGCTTTACTCCATCCATATCATTAATGTCAACTCTACTCTGAGGAAGCAACTCCTTCCCAGTCATATGAGGCTGATAGGCTCATATTTTGGCACTATATCAGACAATATTTCAGGGCTATTCATAAAGATTTCCAGTGATATGTCAGACAGTGTTTCACTGTTACTCATAAGGTTTCCACTGGCCAATTTTTTGAAAAGTGCATGGCCCCTTTCTTCTGAGTCTGTGTTAGTCTGGAAACTCTGCTGAAACCTGTTCACCATGGGTGACCCTGCAGGTATTTGAAATACCAGTGCATAGCTTCCAGCCTCACAGCAACCCCCAAGCCACCAGACTACAACAAACTGACAGTGGCTGGTCAGTGTAGCTTTGTTCATTTTCTCACTTCAATTAAAAATACTGATATTCATAGACAGTGAAAAATATTTATATAGAAAGGCATTTTATGAATCACTTGGAATTGCCATTTTTGATTCCATGTCTCCTGATATTAGCAAATAGTAATAATAGATTAAACTTTATTCCTTATAATCATACTATATACAGAACTGGCTTTAATGGCAGCTACAGCTACAATTCTTGCTTTATTTTATAGAATAGTTTTAGGTTTACTGAAAAATTCTGCAGAAAGTACACTGAAATTCCTTATACTTCCCTTCCCTTGCACATGGTGTCAAAGTTTATTTTTTTCCTCAATGAAACTTTTTGTTTTTTGGGGGACTATTGTATGAAGGAGCATCCATGGTAAAAGATCCATGAAAAAGTATTATGAGTATATCCATGGCTTTATTTTTGTTATAGTAAAAACTTTTTTTTCTTTCCAGGTGAAAGTAAATAATGATTTTAATTATGAATTTTACAATAGTAGTTGGTCTTACATAAAACAGACATCGACAACGCATACATCGTCTAGTCAGAAGAGGACCTGGTTTTGGTCCTCATCATCTCATTCATCCAGTCATTCTTCAAGTAGCAATGAAATCCTTAAGCAAAAGGTTAGTATGAAATATCTGACAGCATTGTATTTCAGGATAGATCTTGAAACATTCTTTATGATGATGAGTTCAATTTGTCATTCCCAGCATACTAGATTCAAAATGGCCAAATATCAGTTAACTTTTCCATATTATACTGGCTGTAAGTATTGCTAACTTTAACATGGTGTATTTACCAAAGAATATGCTTTCATTTTTTAATCAGGATTATAATACTTCTTTAAAGGGACAATATAATATAGTTCTTTAACAATGTACAGTGTTGTCTTGATAATGTACTTACTCATATTTGTTTGCTCATTAAAATATTTGTTTTTATTTGAAAGTCTTAGAGAAAAGTAACTTTACCTTGAAGTGTTCTAATTAAAAATACCCCCCCCAAAAACAAAAATTAAAAAAAGAAACTATCCCAAATTTCTCATTCATAATTATTGAAACTATTATTTAAAATGTTGTATATACATGTGGTACTTAAAGTTGTATGTTGACTTGGCTAGGCTGTGGTTTTGAGTGGCTGGGCAGCTGGATATAGTTATTCCCCATGATGAGATTGGTAACCAACTCCATGGCGGAATCTGGTATGAACAGCTAACTAGCTGCCTTTGTGGTGTGGTCTGCTTCCAGTATATAATACGGAGCTTTGAGAAAAATCTCTGAGCTTGTGGCACATCTGGATCCTGCATTTAGCTGAGTCTTCATCTCAGTGGCCTACCACGTTGCCTGCCAATCTTGGGATTATTCCTGAATTTGAACTAGCAGCCTGCCGTGTTGTTTGCTAATCTTGACACAGTGCCATTTTACTTGTTGATCTTGGGTTTATCAGCCTCAGGAGCCAGCAGCTGTGTGAGTCAGAAAAAGCATTTATGTCTAGAGGGCCTGGAACAGGAGACAGAGCTGAAGCCCAAGGTTTAGGGCCTTCACCCAGGCCCTAGAGCTCGCACTTTGAACTTGAACTTCTAACCTCCTGAACTGTGAGACTAAATCCCTGTTTGTTAAAACCATTCATTTGTGGTGTTTCTGTTATAGCACCACTAGAGAACCAACACAATACACAATTTTAAAAATCCAATTAGTGCTTATATGTACTTCCTAAACCATAATGCTTGAGTATTTTTAGAAGGTGCATGAAGTATAATTTTTGAGATAACAAATTTTTTATCTGGTGAAGCTAAATGACTTATTTTTAAACATTATTCTTTTGAAATATTAAAACTTTCATCTTTGGGGATCTGAACAATTGGACTAAATGATACACACTTATCTCTGAAGAGATTCTCAGGCTGATTATTCATAATCTGCATATTTTATCTCATTTTTACAGTAGGTACCTTGATTAATAAGTCAGGCAAGGGAAGTATAAAGGAATATTTATTTCATTGGTTTTATGCCTATGAGGCTGACTGTGGGGAATATAAACTGTAAAATCATTTATCATCTCTATGTAATATTGTTTACATAAATGGAGATTTGCTATAAGGTAGATCTGTGTTGGATAACATTGAAGGATGTTTTAGAAGTGTTACAAAGTCCTTATTATGTAGCCAGTATCATGGAACAAAATGTATATGAGTTGTTGAATGTAAAATGAATCTGCTTTGTAAAATTTCACCCAAATCACAATAAAAAGTTAAAAAAAAGACCTTACTAAAAATGTCTTAACTCAGGAGTACCCCAATATGGGAGCTAAATTATATGATCACCCTAACTATGCTGTTGTTGTTGTTACGTGCCATCGGGTCGGACCTGACTCGTAAGGACTCCTCCTTGGGTTTCTGAGGTGGTGTCACTACAGAAGTAGATTGCCCAACCTTCTTTCCAAGGAGTGGGTGGTGGGTTTGAACCTCCAGCCTTAGGTTATCCTTAAGATGTGAGCCCTAAAGACACATTAGTTTTACATACTTACTTGTGAGATGTTTTGCAGTTCATGAAGTTGATTCTCTTTCTATTTGGAGAAAGCATAATAGCTAGGTCTTAAGGGTTTAGAGGTCATGCATAAAAGAAATTACCATGGAATCACTCAGATGTTCTTCATATGTAGGACTCCAAAAAAAAAATCCTTAGGTTATTTCCAGAGGTTGGTCTCAGAAGTTATCTTATCATGCATTCAAAAATAAAAACTCATAATCTGGGTTAATTGGAAATGGCACTTGGTTGATGGCAACATCAAAGAGGGAACTATTGCCTCTTTTTTTTTTTTCCCCCAAAAATCTGTACCTAAAACTCCTTTTACTTCTTTCATCTTCCCTTAGAGTTATCAGTTAATGGTTATTCAGAACACTGTGGAAGTGGCTCAGTTCATCAATAACAATCCAGAATTTTTATATCTTGCTGAGCCGTTCTGGAAGGAACTCTCCCACCTCCCCTCCCTCTATGACTACAGTGCTTACCGAAGACTCATCGACCAGTATGGGACTCACTATTTGCAGTCTGGATCCTTAGGAGGAGAGTACAAAGTTCTATTTTATTTGGACTCAGAAAAGCTGAAACAAAAAGGTAGAGTATTAGAAAATTGCTCTATAAAAGCGTCACAAGGATTTTAATGGGGGTGGAAAATAACATGTAGTTAACTTCAACTTTAGAACTCTTAAATCTGACAAATGTTGTTGTTGTTATATGCCGTCGAGTCGGCCCCGACTCATAGCGACCCCTCCTTGGGTTTCCGAGGCGGTATCACTACGGAAGTAGGATTGCCCAACCTTCCTTCCGAGGAGTGGCTGGTGGGTTTGAACCACCAGCCTTCTGGTTAGCAGTCAAGTGCCTTAGGCACTATGCTACCAGAGCTCCCAAAATAGAAAGACTTAAATTGCAAACCACTGCCACCACTATCCAGTTGAATCTGACTCATAGAGATCCTATAAATTGTAAAGGAACCCAAATTTTCAAGAACCCATTATACTCCACTGAAAATGTGACATGCTTTAAGGAAAGCCTTATTCCTTTGGGTGGTTCTCTGAAGTGTGAGTTAAAAAAATCAGAATAGTGATTGGATTTTTAGAATACTTTTTAACCTTCCCCACTTTGCTGATTAAACAGTATTCCTCAAGGAAACACAAATGAGGAATCTATTGATGTTCCAGAAATCATATGGGTTTAAAAAGTGTATCATTTACTTCTGTTCTTTACCCTTTAAGTTCCTTTATGAACATCTGTTCTGAATATCACAACTTTGCTTGCTACCTCATACTTATAACAATAGCTAAATTTTCTTGGATGCCTTCCTTATGACAGGTGAGTTACATATGTTAGAGGTAGTCCTCACTACTGTTCAGTGGTTGTTGTTGTTTGCTGTCAAGTCGGCCCCGACTCATAGCGACCCCTCCTTGGGTTTCCGAGGCAGTATCACTACGGAAGTAGGATTGCTCAACCTTCCTTCTGAGGAGTGGGTGGTGGGTTTGAACTGCCAGCCTTCTGGTTAGCAGTCAAGTGCCTTAGCCACTATGCTACCAGAGCTCCCACTGTTCAGTGGGTGGGCACTAAAATCCCTGTCCTACAGATTGGGGAAATGGATACTCAGTGCTATAACAGACTTATTCAAAGTCACATAGATTGTAAGGAAGGTATTTATTTAAACGTTGGTCTAACTGGCTCCAAAGTCAGCTTGGCTTATTACTGCCAAGAATTTCTGGCAAGAATTATTGCCAGAATTTCTTGATTCTTGTTAGAATCAGGGTGCACCATTGACTTTATGGATTGTTAACTTTATGGTAAGAGGAAGCATCTCTTCATCTTCTCTGATGCAGGAGGGAAAGAAGTAGTCCCTTAGCATCATCCACTCCTCTCCAGAGACATTGTGGCCCAGCTTACCAATGTTTCAAGTCAATTGCTCCCTCCCATATTTATCCTTAGCTTAAGCCCATACATCGTTCATCTTTTGAAATCATATTCATCTCATGGTCTCTTCTGTAGTAAAGACTTCCTTACAATCTTGGAAGACAGTCAGGCTTATATAAAATTCAGAAGAGGTCCCTCGTGGGTGGGTTACACTATTTTTCTGTAGTTTTTGTAACCTCTACCAAATAAGATTTAACCAGAATACGAACTTTTTTTATAACTTCACAAATACTGGAATGCTTAAGAAATGGATGCATAAACACAGGTTTCTTTAGCCAACATGGGGCCAATGTTTATTTGAAAAATTAGCCTAGCAAGTGGTTTGATGTAAACTCAATTTCACTATTTTTAATTTTTTCTTTAGCATTTAAAAGGAATGGAGAAGATCTTTTTAATTTTTCCAATTTGGTAGAAGTATTTGTTTAGTAAAAATTTCACTTTTGATCAGTTTCTTTTCTTTCTAAAAGGTTTAATTTAAACATAATCAAAGCCCTGCAGGTATAATATGTACCTCCCCAATTATTCTTTAAGAAATATTGAGATAATTCTAATCATAGGAAAATTATGAGAGAAATAGATTTATATACATTATTTTCTATTCTCCTTTTTTGATTTTCCTTGCATTGGCAAAACTTCATTTGATAATGAGTAAAAATGGTCACATTCTAAGGTTATGAGTCATAGAAACTACAGATGTTAAAGATGGAGAAACTGAGGCAGTAGAATTAAGGTTTTAGGAATTAATTAATATAGAACCAGAGCCCATATTTTGGGGTTTCCAGAAGGTGGGCTGGAGGCACACTCCTGCTTATATATGCCTCAAAAAAATGGAATTTGCTGAAAACCTAGATGAAATGGACAGATTTCTAGAAACACACAATTTACCTAAACTAACATAGACTAAGGTAGAAAATTTGAGCAGACCCATAACAAAAGAGGAAATTGAACATGTCATTAAAAAAACTATCAACAAAAAAAAGTCCTGGCCCAGATAGTTTCACTGATGAATTCTTCCAAATATTCACAGAACAGCTGACAACAATCCTACTCAAACTCTTCCAGAACATAGAAAAGGATGGAATCCTCCAAAATTCATTTTATGAAGCAGGTATAAGCCTGATATAAAAACCAGGCAGACACCACTGAAAAGGAAAACTACAGACCAATATTCCTTATGAATATAGACACAAAAATCTTCAACAAAATCCTAGACAATAGACTCCAACAACATATAAAAATATGACCAAGTGGGATTCTACTGGGCATGCAAGGATTGTTCAACATTAGAAAAAACAATCGACGTAATCCATCACATAAGTAAAATAAAGGAAAAGAACCATATGATCATATCAGTTGAGGCAGAAAAGGCATTTCATGAAATCCAACACCCATTCCTGGAAAAAAAAAAAAAAAAACTCTCAGAAATATAGGAATAGAAGGGAAATTCCTCAACTTAATAAAGGACATGGGAGCTCTGGTGGTGTAGTGCCTAAGGCACTTGACTGCTAACCAGAAAGCTGGCAGTTCAAATCCACCAGCCACTCCACAGAAGGAAGGTTGGGCAATCTACTTCCATAGAGATACTGTCTTGGAAACCCAGGGAGGGGTCGCTATGAGTCGGAGACGACCTGATGGCATATAACAACAACAAAAACAATAAAGGGCATATATGCAAAAGCATTCAATTGTATGGATTATAACAAATTATGGATAACATTGAGAAGAATGGGAATTCCACAGCACTTAATTGTGCTCATGAGGGACCTGTACATAGACCAGGAGGCTGTCAATGAACAAAACAAGGGGATACTGCAAGGTTTAAAATCAGGAAGGGGTACTTCAGGGTTGTATCCTTTCACCGTACTTATTCAATCTGTATGCTGAGCACATTTGTGAAGTTGGACTATACAAAGAAGAGCATGGCATCAGGATTGGAGGAAGATTCATTAAGAACCTGTGATACTCAGATGACACAACTTTGCTTGTTGAAAATGAAGATGAAACATTTATTGATGAAGATTAAAGACTACAGTCTGTAGAATGGATTACATCTCAACATAAAGAAAACAAAAATCCTCACAACTGGACCAATAACCAACATCACGATAAATGGAGAAAAGATTGAAGTTGTTAAAGATTTAATATTACTTGGTTCCACAATCAAGACCAATGGAAGCATCAGTCAAGAAAGACATCAAATAATATATTGCACTGGACAAATCTGCTGCAAAAGACCTCTTTAAAATGCCAATGAGCAAAGATGTCTCTTTGAGGATGAAGGTGTGCCTAACCCAAGCCATGGTATTTCCAATAACCTCATATGTGTGTGAGAGCTGGACAATGAATAAGGAAGACTGAAGAAGAGTTGATACTTTTGAGTTGTGGTGTTGGTGAAGACGACTGAAAGTACCTTGGACTGTAAGAAGAACTAACAAATCTGTCCTGGAAGAAGTGTAGCCAGAATGCTCTTTGGAAGCAAGAATGGCCAGACTTTGTCTCACCTACTTTGGTCATGTTTTCAGAAGGGACCATTCCTTGGAGAAGGATATCATGCTTGGTAAAGTGGAGAGTCAGTGAAAAAGGGGAAGACCCATAATGAGGTAGATTGATATAGTGGCTGCAATGATGGGCTCAAGTATAGTAAGAATTGTGAGGCTGGCACAGGACTGGGAAGTGTTTCATTCTGTTGTACTATGAATCGCAGCTGACTTAATGGCACCTAACAACAACAACAATATATGGCATTAATAAACTATCAAAAATAAATAAAAATGCACAAACAGTAGAAGATAAACTAGATGACTGGAATCCATTCCCATTCCATTTTGCCGTTGAGTCAGATTTGACTCATAGCGACCCCTCCTTGGGTTTCCAAGGCAGCATCACTACAGAAATAGATTGCCCAACCTTTCTTCTGAGGAGTGGCTGGTGGGTTTGAACCACCAGCCTTCTGGTTAGCAGTCAAATGCCGTAGGCACTATGCCACCAGAGCTCCTAGATGACTGGGGCAGTCTAAAAAATTAAATTCTTATACACATCAAAAGACTTCTCCAAAAGAGTAAAATGAGAACCTACTGGTTGGGAAAAAATATTTGGCAACGACATAACTGACATGGGACTTATCTCAAAACTTTATAGAAAACTCCAACACCTCAACATCAAAAAGATAAATAGCCCATTTAAAGAATTGGCAGAAGACATGAACAGACACTTCACTGAAGAAGATATTCAGGTAGCCAACAAACACAAGAAATGTTCACTATCATTAGCCATTAGAGACATGCAATTCAAAACAATAATGAGATACCATCTCACCACAGCAATAACAGCAGTTCAACAAGACAGAAAATAACAAATGCTGGTGGGGATATGGAGAGATTGGAACTCCCATATATTTCTGGTGGGATGGTGCCAAAGATGCAAGGAGGCCACATCTTCAGACCTCCTCTCACCCCACAAGAGGAAGACAGAAACACCATCAATAGCCCAAGGCCTATTCCTGTGAAGCCAGACATGCTGCCTCCCTTCAGCCCTTTTATCAACCCTGATACCAACCATTCCTCCTGCAGCACCCACCACCTCTCTGCTGGGTTTGGTAATTTGCTGCAGTGGCCACACAGAACTCACAGATTATGGGGTTTATTAGGGAAGCACCAGGCTAT